GCCCCCCCCCAGCCCAGCCTGCGCCCCCCCCCCCGGCTGTACAGGCCAGTGGGTACCACGGGGTTGCCCGTTTGCCTCCCGCGGCTGAAGCTCTTCAGTTTGAGGTCCCAAAGGCTCTCCCAAGCACCGGCACCCCTCCCCGCCATAAAGCGAAGCCCCCAGCACAGACCTGCCAGGAGCCTCTGCACGTTCCTGCCTCGCTGGAGGGGCTCTCGGCACCCTCACCACCCACCCAGAAGCCTGCATGGGGTACGACCGCGCTCCCCCCGCTCCCACAAGTGCCCCATGGGTGCTGGCAAGCCACCGGGCATTCGCGGTTGTTCCGCAGAGCCCAGGCACCCTGCCCAGCACAGCCAGCCCAGCACAGACCTGCCAGGAGCCTCTGCACGTTCCTGCCTCGCTGGAGGGGCTCTCGGCACCCTCACCACCCACCCAGAAGCCTGCATGGGGTACGACCGCGCTCCCCCCGCTCCCACAAGTGCCCCATGGGTGCTGGCAAGCCACCGGGCATTCGCGGTTGTTCCGCAGAGCCCAGGCACCCTGCCCAGCACAGCCAGGGCTCAGCCCCAGGACCGCACCAGCACGCTCCCTCCTCCAGCCTCTGCCCACCGGAGCCAAAGCCCAACCAAGAGCAATTGATGCTGGGAGCAGGAGCTGATCCGCAGTGCCTGGGAGCTGCTCCCAGCACAGTGCCTGCCTGAAACTGGGGGGAAAACAGGGCAGGTCCCCCCTGAACCTTCAGCTCCATGTGCAGCTCGTGGCTGGATCCATTTATCAGCTCATTCCACGTGAACGACCTTGAGAAAATCCACTGACCCAGGACAGCGGGAGACTTTCCCAGACATCTGCCAACACCTAAACCTGCAATTTAGGGAGACTCTCAGCTAAATTCTGAAACAAGACAATTTCATTTCCCTCCATTTACAGTTGCAATATTCCTCTTATCCCCTCTCCCGCCCCCCCCCAGCCCCGCAGAGAGTAATTAATCCTGCACCGTGCTCCTGAGCCTGCAGGCAGGTGTGGGCACCTCTGCTGAGCTTGCAGCTTCGCAGATGGTGGGGGGCTGCAAGGGGTTTGTGCAGCTGGGAGAGGACGTGGCACAGCCCCCCCTTCCCCCTCACCCCGGTATAAAAAAGCCCCAAAGGATGGAGCCTGGGAGAAGGGTGGAGGAACGAGGGAGACGCTCCCCACGCCAGCGCCTGAGAGGCTGCGGTCTCGCCCCGAGGTCATCAAAGAGGACAGGGAAGGAAGGGAAACTTCTCGCAGAAGGTTCCCAAAGGGAAGCAGATAGCGACGCTGAGCCAAGCCCCCAGACGGCCCTGCCCAGCCCCGCAGGGACGGGTTATTTCAGTGGTTGCTGGTGTCTCCTTTCCTCCTCTGCAGCCATCGCATCTCCCCGCGGGTCCCGGCCCTGGGGAGCCCCAGCCGCTTCCTGGGCGGCTCACGATAAAACCTTATGCTCTTAGCAAAACAAACGAGGCGGCTGCGAGAGCCAAGGCTGGCAAGAGGGGGCTGAAACCACGAAGCCAGCACCACTGGTTTCCCCGGAATGCTCTAACCTCTCCCAGCGCCAGAGCTCCTCTTCTCCAGCAGCCCGGTGCGGCCGGTCCGAGACCCTTGGGACGCGGC